GGTAGTAGTAGTAGTAGTAGTAGTAGTAGTCGTAGTCGTAATAATAGTAGTAGTAGTACTAAGAGGAGGAGGAGGAGGAGGAGGAGGAGGAGGAGGAGGAGGAGGAGGAGGAGGAGGAAGAGGAGGAGGAGGAGGCTGAGGAGAGGGACGGGAGGGGAAGGAGGAGGACGAGGACGAGGACGAGGACGACGAGGAGGCGCGGTACCCTAGGATCCGACGTCCCGAAAAATGGAAGTCTTGCGAGAAATCATGCCCGGGGCCCTAGACTCCATCTTTCTGCGCCATGTCTCGAGCCGGGTCGATCCGTGAGAGCCCCGTGGCCCGAAACCGGGCCAGAACGCGACGCGATGCTCCAAACGATTGAGTCGCCAGGATCTCAAGGTCCTCTGGGCCGATGGTGTAGGCCCGAGAAGCCTCGGCGGGCGAGCTCCAGGCCAGAGTCCGCTCAAGGCCGGCCCGGGGACCCACCCGCAAGCGCCGCACGTCCTTGCTCTTACGAGCCGCGGCCGGCCGAGGGGATGCGACGACCGCCCCGGGAGGCAACAACGACGCAGCGGGCAATCGGATCGCAATTACAGCGACGTCCCACGCCCCACCGCCCATCCTCGTCCATCGTCGGCGTCGTCGTCGTCCTGCGCCTCCTGCTGGTCCCCCTCCTCCTTCTCATCTCCCCCCATCACATCCCACTGCACTCTTCCTTCCCCTCTCCTCCTCCTCCTCCTCCACCTCCTCCTCCTCCTCAACCCCGTCGTCTGTCCTCGTCCTTTCTCCCGCCCCTCCTTGCCCTCCGCCTCCTCCTGCTCCTCTCCCTCCAACAAGCCCTCATTGTCTCCTCCGTATCTCCTCATTCTCCGCCGTATCTCTTCATTGCCCTAATCTCTGGATCATCCTCCATCTCCTCATCTCTGCATCGCCCTCCCTCTCCTCGTTTACGTCTCTCCAACCATCTCCACACCCTCTCCTCCTCCCTCTCCTCATCCTTCTATGCCCACCTCTCCAGAGCCTCCTCCTCATGACTACCACTCACACTCACCATCACAATCCACAATTACCCCCATGATCAACACCTTGAGCTTGGCCGTCATCACCACCACCATAAAAGCCATCACCAGCATCATCATGATCATTGGCATCATTATCTCTCCTGCTCCTTCTCCTTCTCCTACTTTTCCTCCTCCTCCTCCTCCTCATTCCTCCCCACACACACACGTCCTCGTTCTCCGCAACCTCCGCCTCCTGATCCTGGCGCTGCTCCTCCTCCGTCACGTTCGCGGCCCTGACGGGATCAGAGGCCTCTGCGCTCAGGCTCTCAAGCACCTGGGTCACACGAGAGCCGCCTTTGACTGCTCGGACAGATCCTTTGTTGCGGCCTGTGATTAATGCAAGTTTTACTCTACTATACGCCAGATGCTACTCTACTGGAGGCCAGGTGCGCGGTCTTAGCTCAGTGCCCATCGCATCCTGCTGTGATGACGGAACGGATCGCGGTATGCGAGGTCGTCGGTGCAGTTGGCTTCGCATCTTGAAGTCTTGCATCCCCAGCGTTTTCAATGCTGTGCAATTGCATCTGTCGCCGCGCCGTTTGTTCTCAACGCGCACAAGTGGACGAGACCGACACCACGGCACACCCACGGCAAGCCCTGTACCCCGCGCCCCAGAAGGACGAGGCCAGCACCGCGGCAAACCCCAGGGCAGACCCAATGCGCCCGAGAGGGCGTTTGTCCTAGTGGCCGCGGCGCCCTCCCCAAGACGCAAGGCCGCGCGTCAGAACAAACGGCGTGGATTTGATGGACGAGCTGAGGAGGAGGAGGAGGAGGAGGAGGAGGAGGAGGAGGAGGAGGAGGAGGAGGAGGAGGAGCCGTGGTTGGCTCGTCGCAGGTTCGTTGCATGCCTTGCTCAGTCGGCCCGCCAAGGGCCCTGAGGGTCGCAGATCGGCGCCGCTGCCGAGCTGCGCCCCCGGCTTCGCCAGCTGCAGCTGGCCCCTGGTGGGAGGAGGAGGAGGAGGAGGAGGAGGAGGAGGAGGAGGAGGAGGAGGAGGAGGAGGGGGAGGAGGAGGAGGAGGAGGAGGAGGAGGAGGAGAAGGGGAGGAGGAGGAGAAGGAGGAGGAGGAGGAGGGGGAGGGGAAGGGAGGAGGGAGGGAGGGAGGGAGGAGCAGGGAGGAGGGAGGGAGGGAGGGAGGGAGGGAGGAGAAGGAGGAGGAGGAGGAGAAGGAGGAGGGACTGTCAAATGGACTGTCAAAGTGTAGGAAGGCCCCTCGGGGCTTTGACCGCCCCGCGGCGAGCGCCGCCACCCCTGAGGGCCTGTGGGCCAGCGCAGCGAGCGCCGCGCTCCCTTCGGGGCTGGCCCTAACGCTGGGCGAACCTCGCCGCACCACTGCCTGGGGGCCGATCCCCCCGCAGGTGGGAGATAGGGCGCCGGGCGGTCGGGCGGGCATTGCAGGCTCGGCCAGCGCGAGTGCGAGGGAGGGCGGGGAGGAGGGGGGGAGGAGGGGGGGAGGGAGAGGGGCGGCGAGCGAGGCACCGGGAGGACGGGAGAGAGCGAGGGAGGGAGGAGGAGGATAACGAGGACGGGTAGGAGGAGGACGAGGAGGAGGAGGAGGAGGAGGAGGAGGAGGAGGAGGAGAAGGAGGAGGAGGAGGAGGAGGAGGAGGAGGGGGAGGAGGTAGGGAGGGAGGGATGGAGGAGGAGGCGGATTCTGATGATGATAATGATGATGATGAGCAGGAGGAGGAGGAGGAGGAGGACCAGTGCAGACCCAACACGCACCAATGATATTGCAATAAACCCTCCCTCCAGGTTCCCTCTCCAAGAACTCCTACACGGGGAGAAGGAAATACCACCATGGAATACAAGAGGAAGATGATGCTGATGATGAGGATGATGATGCTGATGAGGAGGAGGAAGAGGAGGATGAAGAGGAGGAGGAGGAGGAGGAGGAGGAGGAGGAGGAGGAATTTAACGACATGTTCAGGTCGGAAATGTGAACAGTGTGCAGCTGCGGCTGTGGCTGCGGCTACGGCTGCGGCCTGGGGATGAAGACCCCGGGCTCGCTGCGGCTGTGGCTGCGGCTGCGGCTGGGGGACCAGAGCCGTTGCCAAGTGCCCCAGAACCACAGTTTCGGGGTGAACTGTGGCCCAGGGGTGGGGGGATCTGTAGCCCAGGGCCACCGCCACAGTTCGGGTGGGGAGGGGGGAACTGTTGCCCCTTCCCTCGGCAATCGCCCTTGGGAATCCCAAGGAATCTTAAGGAAGGAGGAGGAGGAGGAGGAGGAGGAGGAGGAGGAGGAGGAGGAGGAGGAGGAGGAGGAGGAGGAGGAGGAGGAGGAGAGGAGAGGAGGAGGAGGAGGAGGAGGAGGAGGAGGAGGAGGAGGAGGGAGGAGGAGGAGGAGGAGGAGGAGGAGGAGGAGGTGTGTCCTCCTGCGTTTCTTTTGAAACAGGATACGATGCGATACGACCACCGCTTCGGACATCGTCTGGGCCTAGCTAAGACCAGGTGGACAAGGCCTTGGACTCAGAAGTCTGGCGTGTCTGGACGACATGCAAATCGAGACACATCTAGAAAACATTAGCCTGGCGAAGGACCCAACCATACGCAGCTGTGAATACGGCAGTCGTGAATATCGTCTTCGGTGGAGCTCCCTATGGGGCTACGAAACGTGTTAGGGGTGTGCCAAAGTGGGGCGGCGCCGCCATGCGAAACCCTGCCATTGGGGCCTTCGGTGGAGCTCCCTATCGGGCCACGAAACGTGTGAGGAGTGTGCCAAAATGGGGCGGCGCCGCAATGCGAACCCTGCCACTGGGATCTTCGGTGGAGCTCCCTATGAGGCCACGAAACGGGCGGCGCCGCCATGTAAACCCTGCCATCGTGGCCTTCGGTGGAGCTCCTTACGGGACCACGAAACGTGTGAAGAGTGTGTCGAAAGGGGGCGGCGCCGCCATGCGAACCCTGCCACTGGGGCCATCGGTGGAGCTCACTATGTGACCATAGAACGTGTGAGGGGTATGCCAAAATGGGGCGGCGCTGCCATGCGAACCCTGCCATTGGGGCCTTCGGTGGAGCTCCCTATGGGGCCACGACACGTGTGAGGAGTGTGCCAACATAGGGCGGCGCCGCCGTGCAAACAGTTGAAGCGCCAGCCGGCGCTTCGCAGAGAAGACCGCCAGGAAGATCTTCAAGACGAAGTGGGAGAATAAGAAGAATATCAAGAGATGGATGGTAAAAGTAAGATGTGGAAGAGAAATGGTTTTGCAGTATGCTTTGCTACACTCCTCTGGCGAAGAGCGGTTTGCCTCGCGAGCTAAATAGCGACGGAGGCGCGCGCGGAGGGGGGAATGCTAAGCACCGAAGGGGCCGGGGGTGTAAATCTCCCGATCCACTCTCCTCCTGCTTAGCGCCACGCCTCCACGCGCCCGAAAAACACCGAAAGTGACGCGCGTCGAAAACCTTATCTGTGAAACCGACATCTATGTCGCGATGCCTTATATTGAACGCGAGCACTTTTCAATGCCCACGCTCCTGCGCGTGGCAGGCTGTCTCTTGCCCCGCCTAGCTGTTCTCCGGCAGTTACCTAGGATAACACCCACACTGCTGCTATGGAGATTATTACACACAGCTGATACCTATCACATGGTACCTCATCATTGCTGCCTGCTTCGTGACATCTTACTCACGACAAGCAAAGGGGAGGGGAGGACGAGGAAGAGAGAGACAGGCGAGGCAGTCTATTTCATGACTGCTGGCTGCCTGTTTATTTTACACAGACAGCCTATGTCATGGCTGTCAGTTCCTACGAATTACACCCCTCAGCAGACACAGTTTCGTGTCTGACCCTACATGTTCCCATGCAGGGGTTGACCTAGACAGGTCTTTGCTACAGGCACATCTCTATGCCCGGAACCCTACGCGTCTTCACGGCAGGGCCGCCGTACTCGCCGGAGCTCCCCTGGCGCAAGTGCGGCTTTCTTTGCGACAACTTTTCAATTGCCGTTGGTGATGAGACAACTTTTCAATCGCCTCAAATGTTTCGTACTACCGTGCTGCCAGTGGTCTGCTTGCGGCCGTTCCTCACGGTCGTGCTGGCCGTGGCGTGCGCTGTGCGGTATTCGCCTCTGTTGCTGACAGCAATCAGCTGGTCACGAGGAACTGACCCTTTGGTGAGGCCGTCCGCCAACATATCCCTTGTGTCCGTCCAGAAGAGGCGCCGCAGGGTGCCAGACTGCAGGCGCTCCCTAAGAGAGAGAACGTGCAGCTTAAGACTGCCCTCAACGAGTTCGCCCACGTCTGTGGCGGCCAAGCAATCGAACACGCTCCTGGCGTCAACTGCTGCGTCTACTGGAGGTTGGAGTCGTCCGTTGTCCAAGTCGTCCGCCAGGCTCTTGGCTGTCGCCGCGCAGCCGTGGTAAATCTGGTGGAAGCATATCTGGATAACCAGGAGAATCTCCAGGGTGTCAACCAACCCATTCAGTTCGCCACTGAAGGTCGAACGAACTACTCGGCGTTGGCGCCGGCACTGGAACTCCAAGATGTTGCACGCCCCACCTGGAGATGCCGGCGTCGAATCGCAATCCGTGTTGAGGATGATGACGCAGCCGCGGAGTGCAAGTCCAGATGACTCGTCCGGAATCGCCTTGAAGGCTGCATCCGTAACCCCAACAAGTCGGAGGCGTCCTGGCAGTTTTCTGAACAGGATGCCGACCTTGTGCCGGCGGACCCACCGCAAGACAAGGTTCAAGCGTTTCAGGTCCTGTGCTCTCGGTTCGGCTCCGTGTCGCTGTAGTGCTTGCACGTACACCGCTATGGCCGGCATTGTGAGGCAGAGCCAGGCGACACCGCCAAGGAGGGTGGAGAAGTGGCTCTTCGCCTCAACGCTGACTGCCTGCTCGTCGTGCAATTCGGCATAGAACTTCTTGTCGATCTCCCTGAGGGAAGCCACATACTTCTCCTGGTGCGTGTAAATGCCGTCTGCTCTGGTCACGTGCTCGATGCCAACGTGTGTGAAGTTGGCCCACTCCTGTGTACAAGTGCCCACGTGTTTCTCCAAGTGCTTGAGGAACTCCATAGCTACCGTTTTCGGGGCTCCACCCTTCAAGTCGTCAACGTGCGCACTGAGAATCATGTTCAACTTGACACTCGTGTCGTGGAGTACGTACAGTTGTGGGTCCGCGTACAAGGCTTCGAGGCCGAAACTTTCGAGGATCAAGTGCAACTTCTTGCGCCATGCTCGCGGTGCGTCCTTCAGGCCATACACTGCCTTGACCATCTGGATGACTTCTGTGCTGGGGTTGAAATCCTCGTAGCCAGGAGTCTCTCTCAACAACTTGATATCATCAGGATGCAATTCGAACTGCACAACGCGAAGAGGTTCGCCTGTTAACTCAGAAAGCTCTTGGAAGGTCAGGCCCTTCGCGAAAGCGGCGCTGACATCGAAGCTGAACAGTGCCCAATCGTCCTGCTGCGCTGTGATGGCATTCACAACGCGCTGGCCCCATCGAGTTGCCGTGCCGGCGAAAATGGCCAAGTTTTCGTCGTGGTCTTTGAAGCCACGCATCGTGAGTCGGGCCTTGATGAAGTGCTTGTTCTCCTTGTACTTCCACTTCAAGACCCACCTGGTGTCCACGATGTTATTCGCCAAGTTCCGCCGGAATCTGCGGAAGCAACCCAAATCATGGAGGCTCGTCAGCTCCTGCCTCTTTGCCTTGATTATGTCAATGGCATGCTTTGCCATATCTTGCACGCTCAGGTCGGTGAGTGCTTTCGAGATCGTGCTGAAAGGCTCGTCGGCGGCCAGGAACGAATCCCCGCCCGTTCCGGAGTCCTCTTCGCAGGGCACGTCTGGAAGCAGATCGCCCTCATCGCTGTCGGCCTCATTGATCTCCAGTAACCACGTCTTGAGGTCCTTTTCGTCGCGATCGTCGTCCCCCTCCTCCTCCCTGACCGCCGCCTGGGCTGGGTCAGTCTGGAGCGCTGCATTCTCCGCCGTCGGAAGCAAAGGCTGATGCTGCTGAGACTGTTCTGCAGCAGCTGCTCTGTCCGAGTGTGCGGCAGAAGGTGGAGACGCACCATATGGAATGGTGGAGGCTGCAGCTGATGGTGGGCTCGGGTAGTGTTGGGTGGTCGCAGGCGAGACCGCTGCCGTAGAAGCAGCGGGGGGAGCGGACATTTCTATCCCTTCTCCCTTGGTCCCGGCTCCGACAGCGGCAGATCCCGCGTTGCTCGTAGTCGCGTCCTGTGCGAAGCGGCTCCTCTTCTCTGGAGCGGCCTCTTGCTGTGGAGGAGTGTGGGTCTCCTTACGTCTTGGGGCTCCCACCAGATCCCAAACGTTTGCTTGAGATCCCATCGCTGGCCATGGAAGTGGCCCAGGTGGTCTGGTGGCTGTAGTCGCGCTTGCGATCGGTGTCGCCTTCGGCCCTGGTGGCGAGCGAGACCTCGGTGTTGGCACTGTCTGTCCTGGAGGCTGCGGGGGAGGAGGTGGCGTTCCACCGCCTTGCAACACCGTCTCCATAGGAGTTGGTGGTGATGGCAACCACGGCGATCGAGAGCGCGGAGTGGCTGCAATCTTGCCTGCTGCTGGAGGTGCTGGTGGCGCTGGCGGTGGTGGAGGGGTTCGCATGGCCCCTAAAATTGGCGAGGATGCCGTTGTCCATGGAGATCGCGATCTTGTCATCGTAACCTTTCCGGCTGCTGGTGGAGCCAGCGGCGGAGGCGGAGTAGGAAGAAACAGCATATCTGATGACATGTGTTTCGGTTCGCTTCCACCTGGCGTCGATCTTGATCGTGTCATGGATTGCCGTACTCTGCCGCCTCCTCCTCCTGGCGGTGCTGGTGGCGGCGGAGGCGTCGTCAAAATCACATCGAGTGACGACTGCTGCGAGGCTGGCGTCCGCGACCGCGTGGATGCAGCTAATGCTGGTGTCGATTTGTTGCAGCTTGCTCCGCCCTCAGGCGGTGAAGGAGGCGGAGCTGGCGTCTTGATCGCGACATCCAGCATGGGACTCTCATCTTGTGCGTCCGTCGGTCGCGACCGGGACCTGCTCGCATCAAACCTTGGAGGTGGTGGAGGTGGAGTGAAGAGAGGTCCAATCGGCGCCGGTGCCGGTACCTTCGGCGCTGGTGTCGGCGCCGGTGCCCTCTGAGTCGACGTCGGTGCTCGTGGTGTTGGTGTCGCTGATCGTGGTGCTGGCGTCGATGCTCGTGGTGTTGCCGTCGGTGCACGCGGTGCTGGCGTCGAGGCTCGTGGTGCTGGCGTCGATGTACCAGGCGGCCCTTGCGAACCGCTCGGGGAAGCCGTAGCTGGCGAGAATGGAGGCCTGTCCTTTCTACTTACCTGGCCGTTCCCAGCCATCAGGCGTATGCCAGGATACCGTCTGATCAGGCCTTCCGTGTCCTCGGGCTTCGTTCCCAAGAACTGTACGACGCAATAATCTCTCCAAGAGGCCTCCCCGGAATGGATGGCCGGGTCGTTGCTGACTAAGTTCTTGATGTCAATGCTCTTGTCGAGGTCGCCGTCCGCACTGTCGAACACCATGGGGGGATTGTCTTCGTCCCCGCCTTGGAGCGTAGAGGGCCAGATCCACAATTCACTGTAACTGAAGTTCAACAGCGGCTGTAAGGAGGATACTCCCCGCGACAGTCTCACAGTGGTGCACTCTGCAATGCGAACCACCGTGGATGCCACAAAGAGGCCTGCTTCCAAAACCTGGTGTCCCGACTTCGTCTGGCTGGCCTTCGTCAAATGCCAACCGGGGTTGCGTGTGTCGCCGTGGTGCACGAGTCCGTAGACTTTCACCGCCTTGATGCTGAGGCTCTCGCACGCGTCGCGCAATAGAGTCCATTGTGCGTGGGGGTGCTGCTTCTGGCTCACCAAGAAGATCAAGGCCACGTGTTCCCGCACCTCTTGGCCACGTCGGTCAAGGGTCCTGCCTTGGTAGCGCACTGTTACAGCGTTCTCGTCGTGCTGGATCGTCTTGACCACCGCTGGCCCCCGCCAGCCGCTCACGTCCTTCGACGACGGCTCGAACCAGATGTCAACCTGTTGTCCGACCTTCAACTTCGCGAGTTCCAGAGCAGGTCGCGTCCTGTGGTGGTCTGCTCGTCGTAGGCGGTCTTTCGCTGTGTGCTCCACGATCTTGGTCACGGCGATCTCCCTGATTCGCGCTTGACTGCGAGCCAGCGTCTCGCCGCGAGGAAGTCGATCATCACGTTCCGCCTCCGTCGCGCCGTCGAAGGTTGGGAGGAGAGCGGGTGTCCTGCCGTACAAGGCTTGGTACGCCGCACTCCCATCGGTGTTCACTAAGGCATTGTGTGCGAATGTGACGGTCGCCAGCGTCTGCTCTACAGGGGCATAGATGCCCTCTTTCTGCATCTGGCCTTCAGTGGAGTGGAAGGTTTTGCGTTGGATCTGTTGGTGCCGCTCTGCAATCCAAGCTTTCGAACCGGGAGGCCGGTACTTGAGCTGGATACGGTTCGCCTCTGCCCAGTCCGCCACTGCTCGGCCCTTCATGCCAGATTCTCCGTCTTGAACCAAAGTCCTCATAGGCCCGTGTATGGTCAGCCATATTTCACTGATGCGAGTGCACAGCGTGATCTCCTCCTTGTCCTTGAGGAGGCCGTTCGCCGACCACCGCACGCAGGCGTCAATGAGGTGCATGATGGTTCGCTGGAGTTGTGGCCTGTCGATGAGGCTGTGAAGGAACCACAGGTCCATCTGGACTTCGTAATTGAACTCCGTGATGAGGCGTGTGGCCGTGACCGTGGCTGTTGTGGGAACCTGCCAGTTTCTGCAGACATCACACCCTTGTACCACTCCAGGGACTTCTCCTACTGCGCGTGCTGGCACGCCGGCTGCTCGCAGGAATGCTTGCATGTGCGTGGGTGCAAGGTGTACCATCTGATGTGTAGTCGTTGAATGGCTAATTTCCTCAATTCTTCGTCGTCAGACTTGAGTCTAGCCATTACGCGAGAAACGTCGTCGGTGCGCCAGTCTTCTTTGCCTCCCACACCTTCTTGCGTCTCGGCGTCTGCCTTGCTTGGTCGTGCAATCCCAGCGTCGGACCGAGTTTTGCGAACTTTCATGTCCAACGGCTCGCCCAGCTCGCCTGGCATCAACTCCTCCTCCTTCGCAGAGGGAGGGCCGACCTCAGGCGGCTGCTCAGGAGCGTCGGGAAGTGGTTCGCCTGCAGGCGCGAGCAGAGGTCCCGAATCACTGCTGGAGGCTGCAGCGTGCACATTTCTATGCACCTCGCTGCTGGCACCAGGCACATTTCTATGCCCCGCGCCACCTCCAGCGGAAGAGTCTGGGCGGCCATCTTCTGCATCAAAACCACCCGCGGCAACAGCAGGAGGGCCGGCGAGGATTTCTCCAAGAGGCCCTGGGTCGTCAAGCTGCTCGTCGTCGGTCAAGCGTTTCCGCCGCTCTGCTCCTCCCACCGCTCGGCTGCCTGGATCTCTGACTGGTCCGCCCCGGCGCTTGCGTCCATCCCGATAGCGAGTCTCGGGGGCAAGGCACTCTCCAGCCACTTCGGTGTGGCCTGGGTCTAGGGAGTCCTTTCCTGACAAACAAGCGGGGCACTTGATGGCGTCAGTGGGCCGGTCGTGGTAACGGCGCAAACCTGGAGGCTCAGATCTGCGGGTGTGCGAGGGGTGGTGCCAGACTTTGTGTCCCTGGCACCCGTCGCAATCAAAGACTGTGCCCTCTGGCCACTTCCTGATGGCAGGATACGCCTCGAAGTCTTCCTTGACACAATCCCCGCAGTGTTCGAACCAGAATGCGGCGCCACACGGATCGCTCATAGCGGGTGCCGTCCGGGCTTCGTTATCCATGAGAGGTTCAGTGTCGCTGCCACAATCGTCGAAATGCTGTTTTTGTGTCATAGGTTTCTTCTTTCGCATGGCCTTCACTTCTTCGGGCGTTTTGTTGCGTTCTAGTTGTGCGCGTTTGCTCTTGGCTCTGACGTGTGAGTCTGTCGGGTAGGCTGCTTGTGAGTGTGTGTCAAGGTCGTCGGTGGAGGTTGCTTTGTCTGCTGCGTTGGTGTTCGGCGGAGGTTGCGTCGCTAGCAACGTTGCCATTGCCTGCGGTGCAACTTCGCCCCTTGGCTGTGAGGGATGTGCATCAACTTGGTAAATCTGGACCTCTGCGCCTGTGAAGGTCGCAAACTTGTGCTGCGGTGGTTGTGGCTGCCCTGTGGTGTGCTGCTGCTTCACGTAGTCTCTGGCGCCTGCTTTGTCTCGAAGCTGTCGTTGGGTGCGGTGCCAGTCGCGGCTGGGAGGTTTTATGTCGCTGGGACTGAGTACGTTGAAGTGGGTCATGATCTTTTCCACGAACTGCTCGTATGCAACGCCGTCGTTCGCCACGTAACTGGAACTCTGGCGCTGACAGACACAAGGCATGTCTGGCCAGGGTTTGTTCGACATCACGAGGTGCTCGCCGCATATCACCGTCTTGTCGTCCTTGCCTCCCGCGATACCCAAGGCGCACCAGTGCACGCGAGAGGGGTGCCCCAAGAGGCCGCCGATGCGGCTAGCTCCTGCGAAGAGCTCGTCTCGTACTGGAACGTCGCAGGCTTTCGCTTCCAGAACAACTTCTCCTCCTTGCTTTAGCTGCTCCTGTGCCATGCCGGCGAAGAACTCCAAGGCTGTGCGGACGTGCGGTCGCCTGCCAGGCTCTTGAAGCAGGAGTGACCACTGGATCCAAACCAGGGTCGGCCGGTCAAGGTGGATAGCTTGAAGCATAGCGCAAGCATCTGGTGAAGTCTGGCGACGCTGGAAGTTCAGCATTGGGCATGTTCGGCGTGGCTGAAGATCATACTTGCCAAGGGTCATTTTTATAGTCGCCAACCTTTCTCCTACAAGGAATATCATCGGACATGTACGTTCATGTTTCGGGCTGGCGTCGGTTGCTGGCGGTCGTGTGGTAAGGGGCTTGGGTGCGGGCTGTGGTGCCGA